ATTCAAATTTCTGCCCTAATTTTTGTTGACTTCTGTAGACATAATTAACAGCAACTGAGGGGCCCATTGTATCTATTCTGGTTTTGCCTAATTCTAGAATTGTAGCATGCAGATTGGTTTCTTGGCTTAATGTTGCAGTTGGTCCATTATTTTTCCGTTGGTGTCTTGCGTAGATCCTAGTTTTGCCAGTTTGTTGCAGCCTCGCTCTGCCTGATGGTTGTTCCCTTTTCAGGTTAAACCTATTTGTTATGTTTCTAGAAGCACATAGATGATTGGCTCCAGCTTGGTCTTGCTCCAGAAATTGATTTGTCTATCTGGTGCTTGCTATTGATTGATTTTGGCTTTGTATTTGAATTTTTTACCATGTGTTCTTGTGGTTAGGTCTTAAATCTTTTATTCCTTAACCCAATTTTGCAAACAATTCTTGTCAGAAGATTATACAGTTGTTTGGAGCTTAAAACTTGATTTGATTGATAGAAGTTACAAGTGAGAAGAATTAGAATGAATTCTTTTTGAAACAGAATCACTGAGATTTGAACGATATTTGTAGATGAAGAACAGAATAAAGTTTTTTTATTTAATTACGCAAAAAGCTGAAATATACATCACATCCTCACATGGTTCCTACGTCTACCTATTATTCAAGCATTTCACTCAAGAGAAAACAGTAGAACAAGAGCAGAGTTCAAAAGCAGAACATCCAAAAAGAAACCTATTCTAGCTTAGTCAACCTCTTCAATCTTAGGCCCAGCTCCTGCTCCACCAGAGCTAGCGTTGCCAAATCCGCCACCGGGCATCTGAGCACCGCCCATTGGCACATCTCCACCAGCACCTTGATACATTTTAGCAATAATTGGGTTGCACAAGCCCTCCAGTTCCTTTTGTTTGTCCTCAAATTCTTCAACTTCAGCCAACTGGTTCCTGTCAAGCCATTCAATCGCCTCATCAATGGCCTTCTCAATTTTCTGCTTGTCTGCAGGGTCCAGTTTTCCAGCAATCTTCTCATCCTTCACAGTGTTCCTCATGTTGTATGCGTAGTTCTCAAGCGAGTTCTTGGCATCCACCTTCTTCTTCACCTCCTCATCTTCAGCCTTGTACCTCTCTGCCTCCTGC